ACGTATTTAGCCGACATCCTGAGCAGATAGTCACCGCAGATGCGGAGACCCGCCTTGCGGTTAGGACGGGGGGGGTCTGCGGTGTCCCAGGTGCAGGGGACCGAGGCACGGAGGTGACACCAGCACCAACACCGAGCTGGCAGAGCCTGCAGGCATGGGTGCTCCTTGGGCTTTAAGGTTCAGACCATGGGGGTCTCCAGTCTCCAAGAGGTTTCTTGTTGGAGGGTTGATGCTCATGGGTGGGGGGAATGGCAGCTCTGCTTGTCCACCCCATCCCATCCTGGAAAATCACAAAAATCACAGAATTTGGGTTGGGTTGGAAAGGACCTTGAAGACCATCGAGTCCCACCCCCTGCCATGGGCAGGGACACCTCCCACTAGCCCAGGTTGCCCAAAGCCTCATCCAGCCTGGCCTTGAACCCCTCCAGGGATGGGGCATCCACAGCTTCTCTGGGCAACCTGCTCCAGTGCCAAAAATGTTGGGGTTCAGGGTGGTGTCCTCTGGTTTTTAATCTGATGCTCAGGTGGGTGAGTCAGGGTGGGAGATGTTCATGGCCTTGATGCATCTGGCTGCTGGTGGCTTCTGCTTTTGGAAGGGTTTGTGCCAGTTGGCCCGTGTCCTTATTTCCCAGCTCTGACTGTGGTTTTCCACCTTCTCCTGGTCCTGACCGCCCCGGTTCCCATCCCTCCCCATCTGTCCCCTGCGCAGACACCCCTTCCCTCGCGTCTTCAGCTCCTGCAGCAAGAGGCAGCTGGAGAACTACTTCCAGAAGGGAGGTGGCATGTGTCTCTTCAACCTGCCCGACACCAAGGACCTGGTGGTGGGACGCAAATGTGGCAACGGCTTTCTGGAGGAAGGAGAAGACTGTGACTGTGGGGAGGTGGAGGTACGGTCCTGGGGGGCTGCATCGCTTCCCGTCAGAGGCTTTTGGAGCTCAGCTCAGCTGCTCGGTGGCAGGATGCAGCCCACGTGGAGAGGGGGATTTCCAAGGGAAAGGGCTTTGGTCACCACAAGGACTCCATCCCAAGGGTTCTTTCCCAGTCCTACCTTCCTAAATCCGTTTGACCTCGTTCTGCCTTTCTTCTTGACTTTGCCCCTGAGCACTCAAGTCTCTCTCATCCCTCCCATGCCTCAGTTTCCCCGTCATCAAAGGGAGAAGAGCGATGCTGTGATGGATGGAGAAGGGGCTGGGGGGCAGCAATTGGGAGGGGATGGGCTCACTGACCATGGTGGTGTCTTCTTCTCCCCACGCAGGAGTGCACCAACCCGTGCTGCAATGCTCACAACTGCACGCTCAAGGCGGGGGCCCAGTGTGCCCATGGTGACTGCTGCCAGAACTGCAAGGTAAGCCCCCCACCATGCCTCCCACCATGCCCCCCGCGCACCCATGGGCTGAGCAGGGAGATATGACCCCCACCACCACCCCAGGACTCACACACGGCGTGTCCCTGATGTCAGCCCCCACCCGGTGCCAAAGGAGGAGGGCTGTCTGTGGTGGAGTCTCTGATGGCTGCTTTGCGGCTCAGCCCAGGAGTTTGGCTTTGTACCTTGACAGGTATAAAGGTCATCGAGTTCCAACCCCCTGCCATGGGCAGGGACACCTCCCACTAGCCCAGGTTGCCCAAAGCCTCATCCAGCCCCCCCGGCGGGGGTTGGAGCATCCACGCCGTCCCTGGACAACCATATAGCCCCACAGGAGACATTGGAGATGGTTTATAGCCCTAAGCTGTACCAGGAGGCAGCAGCACTCCCAGCTTGGCCCCTTTGCTGCCTCTCAGTGCTGATGTTTCTCTCTCCTCCTACCACAGCTAAAGGTGGCTGGGACAATCTGCAGGGAAGCAGCGGGATCCTGCGACCTCCCCGAATACTGCACGGGTGC